ACTGTTATTTTTCCAGATTGCCAAGAAAATTAAACTTAACTCCTGAACCAGTTGAAGAGATGGTGCTCCCCTGCCCAGTGGTCTGTACTGCTGGTCACAGTGAACCAGTTTCACTCAGATCCTATGCAACAAAGCTGTGCCCAGGGGTGGAGCTAAGATTTTGAAAACCAGGTGCAGATGGTGAGGTGCATCGTCACATGTAACGCAACACATTTTTCTTCAGTTAAAAAATAAACTAGAAGCTTTACTATTATGCTAGAGGCCTGGGGCTGTATATTATTCAGTTCAGGATTGAAACAAAACCAATGTAACTTCATAGGAATTAATTAAAAATGACCCGTAGGGCTGTGAAATAGGAGCTTTGTTACCAGGAGCAGCAAACAGCAAAACAAAGGATCGCTTGGTTGGTGGACCATTAGGAGCCTTAGAAAGAAGACAGGGTCTTTAACACCTATGCAAGGAAGAGCTTAGAAGGGATCAGCTGGATTATGAGCCATGAAGACAAGCGGTCAGAAGAGAACGCGGCTGCCCCTGCCAGGCACCTGGTTTTAAAACCTGGGTGGAGAGGAATCCAAAGCAGGTGCAAGCTGCGATGCTGTAATAAGAGAGGGCTTGTTGTCATGTGAGCACAACACCGCGGGCAGCCCCGCTGTGGGGACACCGCTCAGGGCCAGTGACAAGGTCGGACACGGAGGCTGTTTCCAGGCTGCGGCCCGCCCCGGACCCCGACACCCGCGAGCTCCAGCAAGGAAGGCTCGGGCGAGGCCCGGCAGGGAGCCCGGACGCAAGGGAGGGGCGCGGGGCTGAGCCTGGCAGAAAGGCCGTTTTACCACTGGACAGCGCCCAGCCAGTCCCAGTGAGGCAAACCCCAATAGCCCCGCCCACCGGGACTGCGCTCCACAAATCACAGCCCTGCCTCGAGTGTGAGAGAATTCTGTCAGCCAATCCCAGCTCTTCTCAGGAAGCGACAGTTCTGCTGGCCAATCACAGTCACACAGAATCCCCAAGCGGTCCTCTGCGAACCAGCGGATCTGCTCGCCAATCGGAATCACGAATACCTGAGAACAACCTGAGAGGCGTGTCTTTCGGGAGTGACAGATAGATCAGCCAATCAGAGTCTTTCTGATGCTCGGCTCCCACGATCTGCCCCGCCCTCAGGGAATGGCAGGTGCGCCAGACAATCCCACTCACCCAGAACGCTCCCTCCCGAAACGGACAGGTCCTGCGGCCAATCCCCATCGCGGACACAGAGTTCCTCGTAGTCACCGTGCGCGCACCTATGTAACAGGTTGTGGCCTCGCTGTTGCGTCACGGAAGGGCAGGGCGCTCTGATTGGCTGCCGTCCTGCGGCCTTGCCGCAGTGGCGCCGCTGTCCGGAAGCGCCAGCCCGTGATTGGCTGATGCGG